TGTAATGTACAATACAAATAAACTTGGTATTCAGGTAATCAATGTATGAAAATAAATACCTTCCAATGAATGGGTTATTTGTAGGGTTAGGGTTTTTGGGAGAGTTATATTATTTTCCATACAACAAGTGACATATGATAGAACAAATCAGTTTGGCCGTTTATGCACATGTTCACTGCTACTGCACTCCTCCAACCTGTGTGTGTAATGCATGACAATGGTATTCATTGTGTAAATAGGTGTCATTCATAGCATTTGATGATGTTTATGTATAATTGATATAAGTATAGGCAAGTAGAAAAAATGTGAAGTAGATGTAGTATAAATAACTATTTTCATTATAAACATTTGGTGATAACGATTATGTGTGACAATACGCGCACATGAGAATTATCTATTCTACGTTTTTTTGTTTTGATGACAAACTGACGTGTCTAAAAACATACATGCACAGCAGACTTGTTCCATGCTTATTGATTATGTGCTGATAACACATAACATATGATGGATGAGATGCATTTGATGTTATTGGTAATTGATGTATAAGTAGTGTATGTTGATATATAAAGATGTGTAAGTGTTATTTTGCCAAACGTGCAGCAAATTATGTTTAGTTGCAATATACAAACTACTGTAGTTAATGTATGCAACCATTAATAGGCACGTATGAGACGTATGATTAGATGATTAGTACTGAAACTGATTTATTGATGCAGCGCTACATTCTCAGCAAATGTTATTTAAACAGTGTTGTTTGTTATCAAACTAGTCTGGGTACAACATCCTCCAATTGGTGTATTTCCATTTAGTTGGCAATGAGCCAGTGGTTCTCATGTTTTCTAGTGTTTTTAATATACACTTATACTGTAATATATTGCTTGGATGGCAGTTGGAATGGTATATATGTTTGCGATATTTGGCTATCTAATTGTCAATAATGTGTCAGTTAAATGCAAATTACGTAACTTGTGAGATATTTTTAGTTCAATATAGTGTTGTTCGCATTTCATTGTTGAACATGTAAAAGGTATTGTTATTTAAATGAAAGTCTGGCCCAGACGGATTTACAATACATACTTAAACCCTATTTTAACTGCACAAACTTAAGATATAGTTCACGTTTAATGAAATAGTGCTGTAATATTCACTACAAAAGCAACTGTTATTCAAATGACTAATAATGTATACAAATCAATATCTTCCACTGAAAATGTTATTGTCAGGGTTTGGCTTTTGGGGGGATCACGTTGGTCGTGAATCTTACAAACAATGAATGAATGTTAAGAGTCATAGGCTAATCTTTATTAGTTGATGTAGTACTTCCTGTCAGATCTACAGTTCACCGCGCATGCACATGTATGAAACCCAACAAATATCAAATATCATCAAATTGGATGCTAGCTAAATCAATAAGGTTTGTTCAGTGAAGGCTCATACTAATATTGTGTACATAAGTCAACTGTCTGTGGCGATGGGTGAGTAGTTGACTGGCAAACTGAAATGCCGATTTGTCAGGAGGCGACAAATTTGTTTCTCAACACGCCTCATGTAAAACGTCATTAAGCTAAGGCAGAATAAACATCTTTGGTGTGTATATGGAAAATCGTACACACATTGTGTTACCAAGTATGTATATGATATTATTGAATGGTTTTATTTTTAGTTTTATGGTAAGGTATAAATATGATTTATGCAATATATACTTCCAAAAGTACATTAAGTTTTCAAATTGCATTCCAATCTACATGTGTTGTTTCATAAATTTATTTCTTAACAACTCCTGAATAAGCTATTGCACGAATTTGTAGGGCATCAGAAAATCAGGCGAATATTATCTGAATTGAGTTATATAACCATATTTGCAATGTTGTGCAGACAAATGTAACATGAAATTAGACTATACACTGATAGAATGTTTTGCTGTTATAAAAAAATGTAATTGTTTTTAAAAGGGTGAAAGAAAACCTACTTAAACGGCAAGGAACATTACATGAATAACTGAAAAAATCGATAATCAGACTACAATTATTCAAAACAAAACAACTGTTAAGTACATCACAATCGGTAAGAGAAATATAGCTTAATATCATATAGTAATTTACTAGTAATATTTGCTAGTGATATCATGTGTTTCGACAAAAAGTGAACACATTCTGTTAATTTCTGTGACAAATCTGATATCTACATCTGATAAGTGACATTATAACCTCTGAGGTCATCTATGTGACATAGTTATCATATGGAACCACAATCTATCCAAATACACCTGTTTGAATATTGAGCCTAGTCGTTCTCTGGAAAATGTATGATTTAATAGTTTTTAAATATTTGATACCTTGCCAAAATCAATGACCTGATAGTGATGTATATTACATATTCAAAGTGTTCATACTTTTCTAAACACCTGATATCAGTCTATGAATACTACAGAGTACATGTATCTCATCGACCGCCTGCATGGTGTTGTTCCGTTCGGGCATTCCTCCCTGCTTCGCCAGAACATTCACCTTGAATTCAAGATGATATACTGATTTCTCTTACTGATTTGTTTATGTAATGTGGGGAACTTGTCAAATGTTGCTAGCAGTCAGTTGGTTTGTATTCGTGAACTTGTAAATTGGCCTATACGACTTTTGTTTAAGAATCTACGCATGGGTATGTTATCTCAACTATGTCTACCTCTAACTACTGAGTAACCATGGCAATGTAAATGGTTTTAGTATTTATGCATGTTGTTCCTACTGTAAACGTTTGTATATTTCTTTCAGTGTATTCTTTCCGAGCTGGGACTAGATATAACTAAACAACTGCAACTGAAAATTTTACTGTAATTGACGTTTCCTGGGGTTTCGTCTTACATATACGAGTAAATGTCATAATCCTTATTATAGTAGTGTCATTTAAACCATCAGTCATGAATATTTTAGCTCCCCATGTGTGACAATACATCATGCAATGTAGAAATATCTGGTTGAGTGTGTATCATGATAGTAAGGGATTTGTGTGAAAACCATGCACCTAAGAAATATTTGGCGGATATGTGTATCATCATAGTAAAGAGAATTTTGTGTGACAAGACCAGCTTCACATGTATCTCATATACGAGAGGAGCATAATAACAGAACATAAATGGTTAATACTAATACTAAAGTGCAGTACTAGAACCACCATGGTCATAGTCCCAGGCGTGCATTACATTGCTGAATTTAAAATAAAGTACTCTTGTTTACTTGTTTTGCAGATAAATTGCCAGATGATATAATGAAGTCTTGTTTTTCCAAAGTACGCCGTACAATGGGTTGGTTGATGGCTAGTTTGGTGAGACATAATTCATAACCATTACATTACATCTCCTATATATAAAGTAATATAAGTGAGAGATTTAAGTATTTTGGGTTTTTTTGAATATTGAAATTATATTCAAAGCTTGAGAGGACTAAATAAGAACTGACAAATGTTTTCTGTCGTACACTGAAGGCCCCCCCCGACCCAAACACACCCGTGTATCAACGGAATGGTCACCAACCTGAATGAGTTGGTTACAAACATATAAACTAACTGTTTCTTAGAACGTTTGACATAGATTTTTTTGTCTTTAGTAAACTAGTATAAATTACCCGGCTTATCGTGACTACATCATATAAGACAGAATACGATGAGATATGTACATCTAACGGTATAGTAGAACAACCACATGGTTACACTTAGTGACTGCAACATGTGTGGTAATTAATGATAGACGTCCTAAATGCGTGTGAACATGAGCTCTACATGCCTTGTGGCACAGAATAGTTATTGCGGGATTTTGATTGCCGAATTTTCCAAAGACGTGGGGGTTGGTCTAAAGACAGGTCGACCCATATTCAATATATATTAGAGGCCTCGACATGAAAGCCTACTACCATCGAATAACTGGGCATTACAATGTTATGACTGTATGACGTAGTTTCATTGTTCAGGTTAACGTTATCTAAAATGGCATCGATGCTACTTGTCTGATGTAGACTTCAGTTTTTTTACGAATCAGTGTGATACATAGCGGGCAGTACATTGGTACTGATTGTTTATGAAACTCTTGTCTGGCCCTCTGTAGTCGGCTATGTTATTTTAATTTTTTGTATTTCACTTTTCCCTTTGCAGACTCAATTCATACTCGCCAAACCATCGCAATGCGCACAGGTATAGTCTACTATAATGTTTTCTGTACACCAATTTAATCGCTTAAATTAAGGCATTTGTTACGAGCCATTTTAAACCATTACTGATCAAAACAGATAATACAATAAGACTGCATTACATAGAACCATGCTTTAATACAAAACCTCACTCGTTATCGCGAGATAAATAAAGATAAATTTGTATAAGCAGCT